CTGTTAACCAGGACTGCTGATAAATGATGCTACTGTTTATTTTCGAAGTTTATTCTACTTTTAAAACACTATCATTGAGGCTTTGTGAATTTTGCTTTGGCACAGAGGATAAGGAAGGGAGGAAGGAACTGAGAAATACCAGCGTGTACTACTTTCACGATATTACTTGTAGTTATTCAGCAGAAAGCTGGCAATGCTGTTAATTTAAATATTTATGTTTACAACAGCTTGGGATGAGTTAAGGAAGATTGGGAATCTGAGATGTGTTTCACCTCTCACCTCAGATCATGCACTTTTTCCTTTTTTTTCTTTCCATCCCAAAAGATATCTTTTAGGAAGGTACAAACCATCATAGCTACTGACATTGACAGACACTTCGGAATTTCCTATACTTATGTTTTTCAACATTTACTAAATTTTGCATAAGATTTCAAAATTTTACTTTTTTAACTGTGCTAAATGTATATGATTTTAAGTGCAAATTGATTGCAGTGAGGTTGAGTGGCATACGCAGTATTTTGAGTGTTGGAGTCTCAGCTTTGTCATTGAAATAAGCAGATATTGCCACGACTGTCTTCTGAACCATGCACTTGATTGTGGACTCAGATGGATGGACCAATAGCACAGTCTCTCATGGTACATGTAGGGTTCATGTATTTTGCCTCTGAACTTACTGTGACGTGAGCATGACAGCAACTACTGTCATTTTAAAGACAGCAAGAACTAGGAAGCTTTCTTCCACAAAAATATATGTATGTATTTCTCTCAGTGGCAAATGTACAGTAAAACAACCTTTTGGAGATTTAAAGTGAGATAGCATTGTAAGCTTATCGCTATTAGGGATTTTTTGGATGTTCTTATAAAGGGTATTCTAGTAAATTATGTCTAGAAACGTTAAAAAATGCAACTTCTTTAAGGTGTTAGCTGTGATTACTGCTCATCGCTTTGTTAGAGCATGGTTGTCGTTATAGGAACTTACTGCATGTCTTGCCTTGAAAACCATCAAATGTTTTGCCATAGATTTCACTGATGTGGTTACAGGAACTGTATGATTGGGATTTGGGGAGACTGAACATTATCATTATAACAGAAGATGATTGCATGAGGTAACTGCCTTGCTGACTGCTTGTGGTTAGGAGCAGAGCGGTCTTCTGCAACACATTTGCAGTTTGTACTTTTTTCTTCATTGTTGACTTGCAGTGTAGTCTTTTCTGCTACTCCAAGGAGCAACAGGACTCAGTATTTCAAGGGTGAATTTATATAAAACTAATGTGCATCTTGCATTCTAATCTGTGTTTGCTGTGGGTTTTTTTCCCCTTTTCAGGAGGATACAGATCATAATTATTATACTTCAAGGACGTATGGTCCGTATGATTCTACCAGCCGGGATTTGTGGGTCAATATAGACCAAATGGAGAAAGACAAAGTAAAAATTCATGGGATCCTTTCCAATACCCATCGGCAAGCAGCAGTAAGTTGTTACACCTTTTTCTTCTTTGACTGACATGGATATTTTTCACCAGTGACCAACACAGTAGTATTACTAAGAATTGTGATTGCTGTTCACAGAGCTGTATCTTTCAATTTTAGTTAAGCTGTGAAAGTCTGCACAATGTTGCTACCAAACAATTCCAAGTTGCATTTTTGCACATGTTGTAACAGTCCTTCAGAGGTACCGTTATAAATATATTTAAAATTCTCCTCTCTTTTTTAAGAATCACAAGCTATCAATCGATAAACTAGTTGTGTTGCTGAAGTTGGAGGAAATTTTACACTTGAATTCAAAAGCAACAGAACTACCTTCAGGATTAAGTTGCTGAAGTTCAAGTTTCCCATGTATTATATCTGTGTTTGCGCTTCCGTTTTGTACAAGGTGTTACACTTATTTTTTTTCTTTTGGAAGAACTGATAAAACTCATGAGAATGTCATATAGTAACAGAAATGATAGATGGGATCACAATTTCAGGGTGTCAACAAATAAGTATCACAAAGTGTAAATACCAGTCCTGTTTAACTTATCGTAATCATGCTGCCTGGTAAAATGTGTATGAAAATAATGGGCTTACACACTTAGAAGTGAAATGGAATGCTGCCCGACTTAGAGATTGTATCTTCAGATCTCACCTGTGGCTGGAAACTGCACACATAGAAGAGCCAATATTGGCACAAATTAAAGACAGAAAATTACACCTCAGAATTGTGGTTCATGAGATTCTTGTTTCATCCATTTGCCAACTTAGCTCCAACAAAAAGTCCTTGGGTTTTGCCCAAAAACAACAAAGTCTAGTTAATGCCTTATTTAAAAGTTTAAAAAAAACCTCTAGGGTACCTAAAAGTGAGAACTTGTATTGTCTGCCTTGCCTTCTTCATCTGGGATCCTGGTGCTGTGTTGAAGGAGAGAATGGAAAAATGTAAAATAAAGTATAATAAAGGAATTAAAAATACTTACATAAGGTAAAATATCTTTCTCTAATAAAAGTAATCTATGAGGCTTGGGACCTAAACATTAGTGAAACTCTTTTGAGAAATTTTAACCTGTTGTTTAATGATTAGTGAAGAAGGCACTCTTTCATGCCTTTTCTAAGCACTTTTGTTTCCAGTTGCATCCCTGAGATCATACACCTAAGAATGTCAATTCCAAGGAGGACATGGTGTTGAAGTTATTGAAACAGAGGTTTAAAACGAAACAATGCTTTTGGTCTGGGTGTGCGATCAGTGTGGAGGACCATTCAGCATGACAGAGGGGAGCTTGGCAGCATGAGGGCTTCGAAACAAGTGATTTAAGACTTCCCTGCTGAATGTCAGGTGCCCACTCTGTTTTTCTGCCAGCTCTAGCAGAGAAGGTCGTGGTCCCAGTTTAACACACTGATATCCGTCTCTTTTGGTACTTACTCAAATATCTTGGTGGCTGTAGCCATGTCTACAAGCTGTTTTAAAAACCTCTTTTTCAGAGATTTATGTCCCCCATGTAGGATGAAAAAGTACCAGTGAGTCATCCTGTAAGGCTTTATATTTTATTTATGGGTCTATAATTGATTTCTTGTATGTGTCCGAGAAAACAACACCCATGCGTACTACACAACAAAGTTATTTAAAAAAGAGATGAGTTCTCTATAACTGTATAACAATTGTAGAGCCATATATTCTGAGCAGATTAAACATAACAGCAATCTCTTCCCATCTTTTCCATAGAGATAAACTTTGCCATTACTCTTTTTAAAAAAGCATTTTGTACATTTTTCTGTGACTTGGTGATTTACATGTTGATAATTTCTAAAGATTATTCTCCAATTTGAAAGTAGAACAAGGAGTTAAATTAGTATATGCTAAGAATTAATCTTTCTAATAATGTCAGGGATTATTTGAATGCTAAAAATTTTATACTGAATTTGTGTGTTTTCCTTCATTTGGAAGTATGCAATCCTAAGGGTTCCCAGAAGATGCCAGTTCATTTTGCCTCTACAGGAAAAAGTAGTAAAGAAAGGATCCACGAGATGATTTGGCTCTATAAACAGCATAGTCATTGTTTGGGGAAAGTAACATGCAATTAAACTGTCTAGCACTACAGGATTTATATCACTAATAGTGTTACGTTGTTTTTTTTTTCCAGTATATTGCCACCATCTTAACTGTATAATAAAATTTTAGGAGTGTCTTGGATGCTCAGTGTGTTTGTATTAGATTTGATTACTCAAACACTGAACTAGATGGAGGATCACCTCATACTTGTGAAGCTCAATTCCTTTTCCTGTCAGTCCATTCTATCATTTCTGCATGGAGAAAACATTTTTATTCCAGTGGGTTGAAAATTCTGATATTTGTTCTGAAAAATTAGGTGTGCCTTATCTTGTTGGTTCTTTAGTACAGTATTACGTTAAAAAATTGTCTACATTAAACATTTTTATCTTATCAGAATTTAAGGCATCACTTTTTGATTTAAGTCAATAGGAGATATATATCTGGCTTGAGTGGGCATAGGATCAAACATCTTTATTGAAAACAGCTCTACAGCAGTATTTATATTGTAGCAATTTAGAAGACTTAAAAGGACACAGTTGTCTTTTGAACCAGTTTAAGACTTACTGTGCTATTCAGAAAGTTAATGCTAATAGGTAATAGGTAAAATGAACAATACTTTATAGAGGAAAGAAGGAAGGTTTGGTCAGAAAATTGGTGTTTTTAACAGTGTTTGGTAGAACAAGGACATAATTTAAACGGAGTGCATACATAAACATAACATAAACCTCAGCAGTGAAAACTTTAGAACATAAAAAAAAACCTTTGTTTAAGTTAATTAATGAATTGTCTTTTGCATATGCCATTTTGATTAGAAATGTTCAGTTGTATATCCATATTTATGTATATACAGAAAAGGTCATTAGAACCTACCCAGTCCAATTAACACAATTCAAAGGTATTTTGCATTCTAATTAAAAACAAACAAAAAAGTCTAATAAATCCTGTCAAAATTTTGTCTTCCACTTAGGTGGAAAGAAAATCTAATTTAAAGTTACTGTAAATCTTCAGCTGTTAATTTCATGCTAAATAATTCTTTAAACATTTCTGGTGGATGTAAATATAATTCTTCCTGAGAGAAGAAATACTCAGATATAATCTGAAAGTAATAAATGCAGGGTAGAAATAATGGTAGCAGAAAAGAAAGACAAAATGCCTTTTTTTTGACCTTTTTTTTCTTTTTTTAAATGTATGGACTGTTGCCCTTTCGAAGGTTAGGTTTGAGGGACAGTCACCAACAACCCATCTTCGTACCAATTTTTACTGTAGTAACTCCTCCTAAATAACAAATAATAATGGTCTGCATACCCAGTTCCTGTTTGGACTTCAAGCCATCATCGAACTGATGTGTTTTTCATGGGATATTACATTTAAACAGTGAAAAGACCTTCCTGGGATTTCAGCACTCGTTTCTGTCATGACTACTGATTCATTCGGAGTTTAACCAGGTAGCACACCACATGATGATTATGGGTAGCCACAATAATCAGTGAGCTTTGGGAAAGGAGTGGAATAGATGGGAGAGCGCCATAGGCATAGAGGGAAAATGAGCTTGGATTTGAATGGTGATTTATGGAGAGCTTAGGAGAAGAGTGTTCTCCAAATTACAGTTCTCTGCTGTGAATTCAGCTGATAGAGGATAGTCAGCTGTCGGCTGACAAGGGAAAAAAGGTTTTTCTTCCGTTTTTATTTTGCAGTAAGTACCTTAAGTAGCATTTATTAATACTGCTGTTGAATATTTCTTTATAAATCATTTCAGCACCCGGTTAACAGTATAGAGAGGTTTGGAAACTGATGTCACATGGGTTTGATGGAGGGATTGCCTTCCAGTGACCAGCCTTCATCAGATAAGCACCCAGGTAGCAGTAGGCTGTCAGGGAGACCACTTGAATCTGAAGGAGTATTTGGCAGAAGAGCAAACCACCTGCAGCCAAGGGAGCAGGCATCATGTAAAACTTAGGTATTGCTAAGGTCTCTTAAGAAAGAGGCTAAAGCAACATTTTTGTTGGAAAAACTCTACAAATCTTTATTAATTTCTTTCTTATGAGAGAGTTATAATGTCTGTTGATGTATTTAATTTTCTAAAGTCTTCAGTTATGAAGATCCACTGCTTTCACTGCTACACAGAATTGTTTCCAGCAAGGCTCCAATGAAAAATAAAAAGCAACAAAGCAGATGTTTGAAGTGGAGGACTGTTCAGTTTGTTTTCTCTTACCTTTCTACACAATATTGATTTTATTTTCTGGTGTTGTTCCTTTCAGAGAGTGAATCTGTCCTTCGATTTTCCATTTTATGGCCATTTTCTACGTGAAATTACTGTGGCAACAGGGGGTAAGTGGCTTTCTAACCATTTACTTTGAGTAATATGAGAAGAGGTTCCTGCAGCATTTATTTAAAATACCTTTTTTCCCCCCATATATGTCAAGAGATAAACTGCAGCATTTATTTAGGAAATTTTGCTTTCCACAAAAAGAAAATTACAAAATATTGATATGATGAAAAACCTCCATCTGCTCAAGTTGAACTGTTATAAAACCCTCTCAGTGCTAAGACTTTATAGTATTAATCATTTTCTATTTAGGTATTTCCACAGAAATCTTGTGTGTGTGTGTGTCTGGAGCAGTTGTACTTGTGCTGGAGCCAAAACAAGAAGGGAAACTTAGGTTTTGCCTGCATAAGGGCGAAGTATTTGCTATCCAAAGATAAGAAGTGCTGCTAGAAGTACGTAACTTGTCAACTCTAAGGAAGACCTGTTGTAGCATGTTGCCTTGGTGTGGTACAGTGCCTGCAACAGTATGATGGTATTCTTCTCTGTCTTCTGTGGGGTAAGATGGAAGGTATGGCACAGCTTGAGCTCCTGGTCTTGTAGTCCTGGGCATCACTGATGGCTTGTGTTTGGGGCTTTCCCTCCCACCGCTGCTGGCTGCTGCTTGCACTGATCTCCTGTGCTAGGAACAGCCATCAACCCCAGAAGGAAATGAAATGGCATGGATGACAACACATGAGAAAAAGAAGGAAGAGGAGTAATGATCAAAAAATGAAAATAGGAGACAGAGAGCAGCATCACAAAGAGCACACCCACAGCATCGTCTGGTCCTTGAACGTGTCCAGCAAATTCATGGACTCTGGCTGGTGGTGATCTGCCTAGACATGTGGCAGGACAAGCAAACAGAAATAGGGGTCACCGTCACCAGACCCAATCCTACCCTGCCACTGGTCAACGTTTCTCCTTCTCGTGCTATGGGTGATCAGCTGGCCAGGGTCAGGGGATGCCCATGTCCCACTGGAGCTCTGCATAGGAAGGGTATGACTAAAAGATTAGAGAAGAATTGCAGCCAGTGTCTCGACAAGGGTAGGAGTTGGAACAGAGGTTCCTATCATGCTCTGTGTCAGGATCTCCATTTTGCTACTAAAGCAGAAGAATACAAGAGGTGGACAGAGGTGAATAAAGGCTGATATTAAATGGTTGATTTGCAGTCAGAATGATAAAAAAGGATGCAGAATTATGGGGTGACTTCAATACCAGGGTTTTCTCTTCTTGATCAGCAATGACATTTTGATGCTGAATTGGACCAGATGAGCCATGAACTCCTGATTGGAATTTTGAGACTTGTCTGATTTCCATTCTGCTTTGCTTTTAGTTTCATTTTGGTGTTTGATCATCAATGCCTAGTTCTGTATTCTTTTATTAGAGAAGTTGCATTTGATGGGGTGCCAAAATCAAGTGCATTATCTGTGTAGCATGGGGTGGGATGGATCCTGCATGGCTAAAACAGCAGCAGTGGGGACAGTGTTCATTCTGTAAATGCCCCCTTATTCTTACTGCTGAATTTGGTTCCTTAAAATGTCACAAAGTTCACTCTTTTTCCAAGTAATTATTTTTGTGTTGTCAATCTGCTGGGCTTTCACTTTTCATGAAGCCCCTGAATTTTTGCACTGTTGTCACAAATATGCTGCTGTCATCAGTCTCTCCCATCTGCCCTCAGAGCTGTCTAGTAGTAATTTGTGAGGGAAACTTTTTTTTCTTTTTGTGTAGAACATTTGCAGAATTTGGGTGTATTGTTTTCAAGGTTTTGTTTGTTTGTTTGTTTGTTTGTTTGTTTAAAAAACTTGTAAACATATAAGAATCACTGCAGCTGACAATCCATTGACATTGGATTATTGTCAATCTAAATAGGACTTTAACATTAGTCCTTTTACTATAGGCCACTGACATTAGCACAGACATATTTTCGTCTTTCATGTGATGCTTCTATAATTTTCAACCTCAAAATTAAGCATAGAAAAGTAAGATGTAGTCAATAATCACTTTAAAAGCATTGTCTTGATAAAGGTAAGTCATCTTGTCAATCCAGGACAGGATGCAACCTTATCTACAACTTTAAGAGTCCTAAACCCATTTAGTAGGAAAAGAAAGATCTGCTTCTGTCCTAACTCTCTGATAAATGTTTTGCTTTGGCTCCATTTGCAGATTTTGTTACCATAACTCATTGGTGGTGCAGTGTGGCTTACAGCCTACCAGCAAAGAATAAAGACAGGTTCCAAGTCGTTTTTATACTGTATGGTCTACTGTTTCTTGGTAACGAGGATTTTACAATGGCATTACTATTATTAGAGATCTGGAACACCTCCAGAGGTTATTCTGAGATCAAAAGAATGACAGAGTTAATGTGTACAGGAGTCCCACATGACAGATGTCCACTTCCTGGAGAGCAGGATATGATTAATTATGCTAATGACAACACTGCAAACTGGTTTTGCCTCCAAATCATAAATTAAATAACCTTGTTAGAAGGAAAGTTGAGGACAATGGCACATTAAATCCCTGTCACAATAAAAACATCTACTCAGATTGTTTCTGCCATTCTTCATGGAGGTTGTATTGTGGCATAGTAGGGCTTCCAAGTTACTTAAGATGACTTTGAAATTGCTGAGGTGTCAAACTCAACTTTTTCTTTGGTTTAACTGATATTTATTTCCTCTTCTGAATGTTTTGCTGAGCTGATTGTGTTTGACTAAGGAAAGGAAGAATAAGAAGTGAAAATAACTGATTTGAGGGACTTATTTCACTATCGTCCTTACCTTGTATTTGACAAGGCTATTTAATTCATAACTAGGAGGTAAGACAGCTTATAGTATTATTAACATGATTAGTAATTTGTGGTTCTTTGGGATATGGGCATCTATCTCCCCACACGCCTTTAGGGAGACTTTTTAAGGCCATCTCTGGAGAGCTCTCAAAGCTTCATTAATAGTAGATAGGAGAAGAAGCTGAGCTTTGTTTTTTGTGAAGCTTTCTAAAGTTGTGCTCTGCAGGCCACAAGTGCAATTATTTCTGTAATAAACCACTCGTGAGTTAGTGAGTCATGTTGCGAATGTCAGGGAGCTAAGCTCATGAAGTCTGTTGTGTTGCCTGTCACTGATATCCCTAAAAGAGTTCGGTGGCGAACTGTGGAGGTGGGAAAACCCTCTCTGTGTTACAGCTCTCCAGACAGTATCACAGCCCTTCTCACGGGAATCCTTCGGTCTCTGTGGCCACACATCCTACTCAACATGCAGCAATGATTCATACTTGGTTGTATTAATTTTCCATGCTCATGGTAGTAAGTCCCTCTTGTTTATTCTCTGTGGCTCATTTTTTTGTATCAGCCTGTTTTCTAGTGCAGCCTTGTATCAGATACTGTAAATTATTTAGGCATTTTTTTCCTTCTGTGGCATCTCTCATTGACATTACATTTCTGTATGGTATTGCTATGCCTGTAGCAGCATCACAGAGGAGGGTGGTAGCTAACCCAGATTGTTATGGATTTTCATTAAGCCTTATATTTGTTGCCCAGGATTAATAAAGGTTTTCATTTTCTCTTTTGGAATTGCTCCTGATGGTTTGAATGATCAGAGGTCATAAAGGGTCTTAAAGTAGTTTCAGTCTCTGTTCTTTCCATGGAATAACTGAATATTATTGTATATAATCTGTAAATCAAGAACATGCGATAGAACCAAATTGCTTAGGAATATAACATACTTGATTTTCATATTTAACTATAGATATTTGGAAGCAACAAGGGAAACAGTAAATTAAAAAAAATAGTTCTGTATTCTCATATACTGGGAAAACAATAATTTTTTAATGGAAATTTTCTCTAGAATTAAATTATCAAGGAAATAGTTAAGCAGTTGTTTATAAAAGGATACCTTAGGTCTGCCAGATTTTATTGGGCAGTGTAGGCAACTTAGCATGGGTATCTTCAAGTCTTTTTCTTTTTTTTCTTTTTTTTTTTTTACACACGTATTTTGTTTTAAGACTTTTTGCAGGTAACTTTTTTCTCTGTTTCAATAGCAATCATATTTTATAGGTAGCATAATATATAAATATTGCGAGCTGAATTCAGAGGTCAATCTTGAACTGACATAAGTTTACATTATTTTGATGTAGTGGTTTGTGCTGTTGCCTTTTGAATTAGGATGAGTTCAGCAACATTCTTGCTGGTACATCTTTGATTATAATTTTATCATCCACATGATGATTTTAATGAGCCTATGCACTCTTCCTGAATTTATCCCTTGGCAATAAAGATTGAGGATTTTTTTTTAATCTAGATTTGATAGAAAAATAATGTATCATTTTATCAATCATAACTGTGTTAAACACTATGTCAAAGTTTTCCTAATTTTTCCCTAAAAGCTTGAGGAAAGTTTAGTTATTACTGTCGACATTGTAGTTATCTTTCTTATATTGTGTGCCTGTAATGACAGCTGCTTGTAGCTAGCATTGAGTACACTGGTAGAGATTTCAGAGATAATGATACCATCTAAATGTAGCTAAGAGCTTTTACTGTAGATAAATCTGGTTATCAGGTTATTGTATGGGCCTGATGACAGAGAGTTTTGAGGATTTGTAAAAAATGTGACTCCACAAGGCATCCTACGTGTACAGGATTGAAGTCAGGAGCTGAAAACTTCTTGCTCAACCCATGCTGGGCTCACACCCATTATAGACTTCTGGGTGGAAGTCTGTGAATTAGGTTTTCACAGAGATTAATGCTATCCTTGCTCTTGCTCCAGCTCATCTTGTGGACGCAGCGGTGACAACAGAATAAGAAACTCCATCCCTGTAGGCACTGGTAACTTATAGTGACATAGAGGCACGGAAAGATTTCAACAGACTTTGTGCAGGAAACTGCAGTAGGAAACTACATTGTGGAAACCAGTAGTATATCATGCTAGCATGAGCCCCAATATAATGAACAAACCAAAGCTGAGCCCTTTGTCCTTCCATCCCCTATCACTTTGTTTGCTGCAGCCCCAGTCTGTCTGACCCCATTCAGGTCATG